TTCCATTAATTCTTGTCACATTTGAGAAAATAGTTTATTTTAAAATACTTATCACATTTCTAGTTTCAATGAATAATATATCTTTTTTCCATGTTTACCCTTTATACATAACCAATAATTATTACTTCAATTTAATGGTTTTCTTAGAGAATTAGTATTAAATTAAGGGTAATATAGTCAATTTACTTAATAATTGATTGTAACTTATACAAATTTAATATTTTTCTTAAGGGACGTAAAATTCGAAATGTGATAAGTATTATGGAACAGAGGCAGTAGTTAGAGAGAGGAACCAAAGACAATCAACTATAAATTGTGAACATTAATATTGTAATTCAAATCTGATTTCAACTATATATATATATGGTTTTTTATGCAGATTTGCAAATGATTGTTGCTAGAGGCCCCGTAATTAATTTCAAATGCCAACAAAATTCTGATTGCGTAGGCACCAAATGCTTCTGTGAAAATTGTATTTGTGAACATGGTAGGTGTTTGTGCATTCCTCCAACCCAACAACAAAAATTATGGGGTTGAATATTTCACTGTTAGTATCTGCAATTTGCCAAACAATTAGATTTTGAAATTGTATTGGGATAATTACAATTATTGTTGATGTGTTTAACATTTCGTGATATTATTTCAAAATCTAATAGTTGATAAACTAGTTCTCATGTAATATCGAGTTTATAATAATTAAATCCATAAATAAAATGAATGTTTCCCATCATTAATAAAATTAATTTCATATGAATGAGTGTTTTTTTTTTTTTTTTTTTTAATTTATAATAATTAAATCCTAAATAAAATGAATGTTTCCCCAATCATTAATGAAAATTAATTTCATACTGAATGATGTTTTTTTTTTTTTTTTTTTTTTTTTTTTTTTTTAAGACGAAGCCTATTCTGATTCTGACTAATAGATGAGATGGTTCTTTTTTTTTGAATTTAATGGTTCGAGTTTCAAATTAGAAGATATAATAATTCATAATAAAGTTCGCCAGATCAATCTTTCCATTTTGTTATTTCTGATCTTAAAATGAAAACCAAAAGTTGCCAAAATTTTAAAAAAAAATACAAAATATGTTTTTTTCACGAGATCAGTGCATGAATTTATTAACATAAAAGATGCAAATTAGTTACTACCTTCTCGAATTAATTGATTGTTTCTATTTTAGAATATTCTTGCTTTTGAATTAATAATATTTTTTTACTCTTTAATAAGTAAACATTAGAGCAATTTCCAAAAATGCAGTAAAAAAATAAAAAGTTAACTCAAATAGTATATGTTGAAAAGTATTTTACTAAAAAGTGTAAAGTTAATTTTTCAAAAGCATATTTTACAATATGAGTGTATCAAATTTTTTTGGTACCTTTTGTTGCACTTAACAAGGAATTTTCAGAGTGGATTAATAAAAAATAATAAATTTTATTACACTTATAGTGTATCAAACCTACCACAATTATGGATGGGATTTGCTTTGCCAAGGAGTGAGTTACCAGGGAAATTATTTAACGTATTATTGCTATATGTCCTCCTTCTTTGCAAGGGGTGGATGATTTGAACTAGGACTTCAAGTGGTAAGTTTGTTAAAGTAAGAAGACTAAATAGTAGGAATATCAGCTAACACTCAAAATAAAACTTCATTAATATTTTCTTAAACACACGCACTTATCTTACAAACTCTATTACATACGCTGCACACACAAACTCTATTTTATAGAGCAAACACCGTATAATTTTGTGTTTTATAAACAACCACCATTACATTAAACAAAAACCACATACTTATACCTAAAACAGCCCATGCTTCCATACCCATCCTTCCTTGCTTTCACTACAATCTTCTTTTGTCTGCCACATACATTATTATTCAACTACTAATTTGTCTATTCTTATTGTTATATTGCACCATCATGTGCATATCAAATCAATATCAATCATTGTCCCTCCTTTATTTTTTTTTTATTTTTTTATTTTTTTTAAAATTAAGTTTATTATTTCAACATGCGCCCTCTTTAAACTTAATTTTCGGTAATTCCCAATAATGCTCGCAACTGATTGAACATGTCGTATTTAAGCAGCTTCGTAAAAATGTCAGCAACCTTGATCTTGAGTTTTGACATACTTCAGTATTACTTCATTTTGCTCAATGCTTTCCCTGATGAAAATGATACCTCGTATCAAATATGCTTGTTCGATCATGGAATACTGGATCTTGCCAACGCCAAATGCAGATTTTATTATCCTACAAAATTTTAGTTGGATCATGTTGAGCCATCTTCATTCCTTCAATAATCTTTCTCAGCCATAGTTGCATGACAATACAACATGCTGTCGCAATAAACATGAATTTTGCCCTCACAAGTTGAGCAAAGTCCACAATGGGCTGCTTCTTGGAACTCCAAGTGAATGCTGTATTACCACGAAAATACAAAACTGTCGTGCTCCGATCAATCCTTGTCACCGGCCCAATCATCTAAATCACTTTCCCTCAATTAATTTAAATTCATCGAGAAAATTGAGGTAGTGTAGGCCCAAATTGATTGTACCTTTTAAATAACGGCAAAATTGATTGTACCTTTTAAATAACGGAAGTATTCTTTTTGATGCATTCCAATAAGACTCCGTTGGCGCTTCCATGTATCTACTCACCAATCCAACTACATATAGGATGTCTGGCCTTGTGCACGTCAGATATCTAAGACTTCCAACCAGGCTTCAAAAAATTGTCGAATTCACTTTCACACCATTTTCATCTTTAGTCAACTTTAAGCTGCATTCAACTGGTGTTTTGACAGGATTGGAATTCTCCATTTTGAACTTCTTCAAAACCTCCTTTGCAAAGCCACTTTGAGAAATGAAAATTTCTTCATCATTCTGCTTCACTTCAATGCCAAGGTAATATGACATGACGCCAATATCAGTAATTTCAAACTCACGAGCCATCGCCTTCTTGAATTCTTCAAACATATGTTGATTACTCCCTGTGAAAATTAAATCATCCACATATAGACAAACAATCATTATGTCTTCATTTTTCATTTTTACATACAAGGCATATTCATATGGACATTTAGAGAAACCATTCTCTTGAAAAATCACATATAGACAAGCGATATCATTATTGTTGTTCTATCATTTTTCATTTGTACAATACAGGCATATTCTGCATTTTTAAATGGGACATTTGAGAACCAGGCGCCTTGAAAAGTATTTAATCATTCTGTACACATTCTAGGCTCTCTTGGTGCTTAATGCCTTCGAGAATACGAAGTTTTATTCTTCAAAGGTGAGCACATATCTTCATAATGCACCATTTGGTAATGGCAGAACCAGGTGGTTCTGCTTGAATTAATAAATTTCTTGCACTCTAAGTATCGCATTCTAGAAACTAGCTGGCTGATGTATGAACATCCACATACTGATGATATTGTAGTCTCGCATACCATGTGGTTATTGGTGTAGCAAATTGTAGATACATAACTAGATCTGTACGTTGTCCAATTCTAGCAGATCTGGAGGCTATAAAAAACTTATGAAGTCGATAAAAACTTTCATTTAGTGCGATGCCCAGCTCTTTTGACCTGCAATCCTTTTGCTATTCAACCTCAGCCTTGTGTCTCACAATTTCCACCTATAGCATTTAGCAGACAGTCTTTCGTTTCTTTCTGTCTTGAGGAACACTCTGAAGTCAATTTAACACCCACCTCGCTTTTTCTCACCCGCTGTTCGGATAGTGAGGTTAAGCTCCCACGTCTTGTTCTTTTCCGGATTGCTTGAAATCTCTCTCTCGCCATGGCCAGGTCTCTGAGAACTTTCACTTCTGGGTTTGTCTTCTTATCCTCCAACGAATACACTGAAAGAGGAGGTAGTTAGTTTACTTTGGTGTAGGCAATTTGTTACCTCCTTCGTGAGATTCATCCTTGTCCATTGCGGTTTATATTCACATCCATAGAGGGAAATGGATTATAAAACTGAGGTAAGAAGCATTCTTCTTATCTTAATTCTATTATCGCACACTCACCTCCAACTAGGCTTCTTCTCATCAAATAGTCCACATCTTCCTGCTAATGGATCCAATGCTTTTCCAGAATCAGGATCGAACATCTTGTATCCTTGTTGAATTGTTCAGAATACCTCTGGATCATTGTCATTGTTTTCATCCATAGAGAATGGATAAAAACTATAACTCTTCTTCTTTTCATTACTCCAATCCCAACATGCTTCTTCATCAATAGTCACATCTCTGCTAATGATCATCTTTCCAGAATCAGGATCGAACATCTTGTATCCTTTTGATTGTTCAGAATAGCCCACAAACATATACTTTCTGCTTTTATCATCAAGCTTCCTTCTTTCTTCATCTGGCACATGAACATATGCAATACTTCCAAAAATACGTAAGTGAGAAACACTTGGCTTTCTTCCACTCCATGCTTCTTGCGGTGTTAAATCTAGAACACTGGTAGTTGGAGACCGGTTCAAAATATAGACTGCACAATCAACAGCTTCTGCCCACAGCTCCTTTGGTAAGTTCTTGCTCTTCAACATGCTTCTTGTCATGTTAAGTACCGTTCTGTTCTTTCTTTCCATGACACCATTTTGTTGGGGAGATCTTGGAACTATTAGAAAATGACGAATGCCATTGTCTTCACAAAATTTGTTGAATTCATTTGATGTGAACTCTCCTCCTCTGTCGGATCTGAGTGCTTTGATATACTTCCTGCTTTCTTTCTCAACAATAGCTTTGAATTTTTTAAATGCTCCAAAGACTTCTGATTTTTCCTTCAAAAAATAAACCCACATCTTTTTGCTATAATCATCAACAAATAATAAGAAATATTTGTTATTACCAAGTGATATTGGAGTTATTGGTCCACAAACATCTGCATGAATGAGCTCGAGTGGTGCTTTTGCTCTTGAAATGGACTCCTTCAAAAAACTGGTTCTGGATTGTTTTCCAACAAGACATCCTTCACAGAGTTGATGTGGTTTATCAATTGGTGGTAATCCATGCACCATCTTCTTTTGACTTAGTAACTTTAGCCCTCCAAAATTGGGAAGCCCAAACCTTAAATGCTAAAGCCAATGGGAATTCTTCATGCATACTTTCAAGCATTTTGCAACATCCATCTGAATATTCAAGGGAAACATTCGTTTCTTTGACATTGGTACTCTTGCTAACAGCTCTGAATATTCAAGGGAAACATTCGTTTCTTTGACATTGGTACTCTTGCTAACAGCTCCTTTTTCTCATTCAACAGCAACAACTTTCTATTCATCATATGGACTTCATAATCTTTCTCCAACAATTGTCCCAAACTCAAAATATTACTTTTCAAGTTAGGCACAAAATAAACATTATCAGTGAACTGGTGACATCCATTCTTTCGCCGGATAAGAGTGGTTCCTTTACCTCTAATGTCGATTTTTGATTTATCTCCAAATACTACATTGCCACAAATAGATCTGTCAAGTTTCACAAATATCTTCTTATTGCCAGTCATATGATTACTTGCTGCAGTATCCAGGTACCACATATTATTTTGAGAATTTATTTCTCCATCATGTGTTAGCAATACGGTGCCTGTAACATCCTCTTCTTGAATGTTGTTAGCTGTTTCCTCTATTTGCTTAGGCGAACTCCAACATTCTAAAGCGTAATGGCCATATTTGGAGCAATTGTAACACTGGATGTTGGATTTGTCTCTTCCATCATTTGATCTCCAGTTTCCTCTTCCTCTACCTTATTGTAACACTGGATGTTGGATTTGTCTCTTCCATCATTTGATCTCCAGTTTCCTCTTCCTCTACCTTTTCCACGTCCACGACCTCTGCCTCTTGTGAACTGGGTATTTCCATCATTGTTGTCACCTCTTCTAAATTGTTGATTTCTGCTACGTCCTCTTCCTCTTTCGCTTCCTCCATGACCTCTACCACGTCCTCTTCCTGATTGACTGATATCTCGACGATTTTCATTTTCTTTGAACAAAGTCTTTGCTGCCAAGACTTGTTCTACAGACTCTTCTTTTTGTCTATTCAACCTTTCCTCATGTGCTTACGATGAACCGACAACTTCATCAACGGTCATTGCACTTGTATCTCGCGATTCTTCTATGGCCAGTACTATATAGTCAAACTTTGGTAGTAGCGACCGTAGAATTTTTTCAACAGTTCTTGACTCATCAATTTTTTTCTCTGTACTGTCGCATTTGATTAACGACAGATTTTACTCGTGAGGAGTAATCAACAATAGCTTCTGTCTCCTTCATTTTCATCATCTCGAACTCTCCCCTCAACATTTGAAGTCAGACTTTTTGTACTTTCTCCTCCCCTTTAAGAGAAACTCGTAATATGTCCCATGCTTGCTTGGAGATGGTTGCTTCTGCCACCTTCTCAAACATTACATCATCTAATCCTTGATGGATTATATTGAGCGCCTTCTGATCATTCTTGCGACTCTTATGCAAACTGTGTTTTTCAGCTTGAGACAGTTGTACACCTTCAGTTGGGATTACGTAGCCTTTTTCGACAATGTCCCAAACATCTTGGGCTCCAAGAATTGCTTTCATTTTGATACACCAATTTTTGTAATTGTTTTTGGTAAGCTGAGGGAAATTGAAGGAAACACCATTGGAATTCATTTTTTTGTAGAGGTCTCTCAAACACCAATTTTTTTTTTTTTGGAAGGATAAAACCACACAACTCTCACAAATCGAGCTTTTAAAAGCTCTGATACCACTTTGTTAAAGGAAGAGGACTAAACAGTAGGAATATCAACTAACACTCAAAATAAAACTTCATTAATATTTTCTTAAACACATGCACTTATCTTACAAACTCTATTACATACTCTGCACACACAAACTCTATTTATAGAGCAAACACCGTATAATTTTGTGGTTTATAAACAACCACTATTACATTAAACAAAAACCACACACTTATACCTAAAACAGCCTATGCTTCCATACCCATGCTTCCATGCTTCCACTACAATCTTCTTTTGGCTTCCACTACAATCTTCTTTTGTCTGCCACATACATTAGTATTCAACTACTAATTTGTCTATTCTTATTGTTATATTGCACCATCATGTGCATATCAAATAATTTGTCCTATTCTTATTGTTAATATTGCACCATCATGTGCATATCAAATCATTGTCCCTCCTTTTATTTTTTTTATTTTTTATTTTTAAAATTAAGTTATTATTTCAACAAAGTTCCACTTTAAGCCTCTGCTGTGGATTTAGTAAGGCGAGGAATGATGTTCCTTGTTAGTCCTATAGGCTGTTTTGCATTGGGAACGGTATATATGGAAGTGGCATGTTTCCGCAAAGAGTTTCGCAACTACCCTTTGGTTTAGCTGGTCATGGTCGTCCTTCTTTACTAATGTCAAACGGAAAAAGAGAAGCTATGTGAGAAATCGCACACATATACATATATATAATATTCGGAGCCATGTAGCCAACAACTTGCGACAACTCACTCATCGACACCCACATACCAGACGAGTACCGCCTCAACGATCGCCAGGCAGAATCTGACGCGCACGCGATGAGCGACAACACAGCTCAGCGCATAATTTGTCTATTCTTATTGTTATATTGCACCATCATGTGCATATCAAATCATTGTCCCTCCTTTTATTTTTTTTATTTTTTATTTTTTTAAATTAAGTTTATTATTTCAACAAAGTTCCCTTTAGCCTCTGCTGTGGATTTAGTAAGGGAGGATGATGTTCTTGTTAGTCCTATAGCTGTTTTGCATTGGGACGGTATATGGAAGTGGCATGTTCCGCAAAGAGTTCGCACTACCCTTTGGTTAGCTGGTCATGGTCGTCTTCTTACTAATGTGCAACGGAAAAAGAGAAGGCTATGTGACGATGATACTTCTAGTCATTGCAATGGTGCCCTTGAAACTACTCTCCATGCCTTGCGAGATTGTTCGATGGTTAGGGATGTTTGGTGTTCGCTTGTCCCAAGAGCTATGATGGTCAATTTTCATGCTGATTTAGCTTTGCGGCTCATTTCAGACTTAACTTCTCGTGTTGAAGTTCAGGATAATGTTCTAGGGCCAGTTATTTCCGGTTTGACGGTTTGCAAGCTTGGATTCATAAAAATGGGAACGTCTTTGGGTCTGAGGAGAAGACATCTTTTTCTATTCAAGATATTTTGCAGCTATAGCTACGTCAGTTTGCTTTGCTATGAAAAATTTAGATTCTTTGGTTCATCCTCTAGTTGATCGAAATACTGCTTCTCAAACTAAGCCTCCTGTTGGTTGGGTTAAATTCAATGTGGATGGGGCTGCTTCTTTTGCTCAACATAGAAGTGCAGTTGGAGGTTTAATTCGAGATGATTGTAGTATTTAGAGAGGCGTTTTCTCTACTGCCATTGGTTTTGTGCACCTTTTGTTGCTCAGCCGTGGGCTGTATGGTATGGTGTGCATCTTGCTTGGACTAGCTGTTTCTGAAAGGTTTGCCTAGTTTCTGATTCTCAATTGGCAATTGATATTATCTCTTCTCGTCGGGATTGGGTTGGTAATCTCCAATCACTCATTTGGAACATTAAACAGCTGATGGCTGCAGATTGGGAAGTTTACCACTCACTTCATCAGACTATGTTTGTACTGATTTTTTAGCAAAAGTTGGTTTAGTCGGGAATAATTGGTTCTGGTTTTATCCTCAACTTCCTACACCTCTTGTTCGTCTGGTTACTGCTGAGCAAAGGGGGTTAATCCTCCTAGTTTGTAATTTATTTAAGATTTGCTTCCTTTCTATTAAAAAAAAAAAATTTACGACATTTCTAAGCTTTTATATATTTTTTTAATTTTTTTTAATTGGCACATAAAAAAAAAAATACTAAAAAACCACTATGAGGTGGCAGTTTCTTGACTAAACTTTTAAAACTTTTTAAATTTGCCTCATTTGAAAATACAAAATTAAAAATGCTCAAGGAATCACCAATGGGGCTGGCAATTTTCCTGAGCAAAATTTTCATTTTTCTATATTTGCATTATTTGGAAACAAAAACTTAAAATCAGTTGGGGATTTCTTAAGCAAATTTTTAAAAGTTGTTTATTCTTGCTACTGTAGAAATTGAAAATTAATGTTAGAAATTAAAAAATTAAATTGCAAAATGAATTAAAAGAAATTAATAAAAAGGAAAAATGATAGAAGGAAAATTTTTGAAAAAAATAAATAATAAAAAGAAAAAATTAAGAAAAGCTGAATTAAAAATTTGGAAACTTTGTTACAACAAAATTCATTTTTGACATCCGCCAAAAAATTTAAGAAAAGAAAAGAGAGAGAGTTTTATGTTGCAGTCATGTACAGTGTGCTAAAAGATACTAAGGAATATGTTATTACTATAGTATAATAAATGATTTCGAGAAATCAATCCTATGCAAAAAGAGAGAGTTTTAAACAAGTATGTCGCTCTCGCCTATGCTCGAGGGTAACCTTAAGCCTGATGCCCACCCGCCACCGGATGACTATTCAACGAAGAAGTTTAGATTTAGGGTAGATGAGGCAATGAATAGTACTAGTTTTGGACATGCTAACCCCCAGCCAGGTTCCTTATCTTCTAAGGAGTGTATTCTCCAGCAACCTGTGATTGGACAAAAACATTCTTTAGATCGTCCGATGCTGGAGGAGTCAAAAGATGAGATGGAGGAGGACTATGTTGGCTCAAGGGTCAATTTCTAATCTCGGATTTTGATGATTAATACAAAATAAATAAATTTAAAATTATATTATTTGTGCTAATATTTTATGCTTTTATGGCAGAATATGTTATGGAAAGAAATCGTAACAAGGTAAGTCCTACCAATTGAGTGGTGAAAGATTAATTCGAGATCATAGTAGCTAGTACTTAGGATACTTTTGTAGGATAGAGAGAAAATCCATATATGAAGCACAAAAATTTAATTTTTCCTCTCAAAAAATATTTTCGGAAATTAGATTTTTCTTTCAAAATAATTTCTTTTCATAAAAATATTTAATTTTCGAAAAATATTCCTTTTAAATCGAAATGATTTTAATTTCCTAAATTAAAAGAGATTACTTTCTCTAAAGTTTTTTGGTAATCAAAATGCATAACACTTTTCGGAAATATAATTTTGAAAAATCTAGAGTACTTCAATTTAATTTCTTACCTTAACACGAATGAGAAATCTTTTTCGTTTTAGTAAAGAGCATCCTTCGTAAAATATTTTTCCAATAAATGCTGGCTGAAAATCTTTTATTAAAGGAAGCAAAATCGTATTTTTTATTCTCTACCAAAAAGGATAATAAAATTTTTTGGTAACAAAGATTTTCATATCGTCTAAATAAGGAAAGAAGATATTCTGATTTCAATGAAAATATCCCACTTTCCCAAAAGCAAGGGACACGATGCTCTCTATATAATAGGAGCTTTCACGTCTTAAGCTATGGTGAGTAAAAAGTTTTCGTTTTAAGAGCATTTTCTCATTGATCCAATCTTTATCTCTCAAAACTACTCTCTAGCCCATTTTTCTTTTCACCTCTACACTTAACGTTTTATCTTTAAGTGAAAAGAAATTTTACAAATTACTTTTGAAAACGGTTTCTGTGTTCTAATTGATCTTCTAATGCTGATAAACTGTTTTTCTGTGCTTATATGTGCGTTTCCCTTTCTTCTATTTAAGATCTGTAATCTATAGTTATACATGCTCTTTAGCTTAGGTTAGAAGCTATTGTGATAGAGGTTTTCAAGCGACCTTCTCCATGTGTGGGATTTTAATGTCTTGAATTGAGTTTTTCCTGTATCTGCCAAAACAAAAAGGGTTGAGGTTAACTAGAACCTTTGGAAAATACTAGTGGGACAAAAGGGTAGATCTAAGGTGTTGATCTATTGCCTGTACTGTTTGGTTTGGTCTCTTACCGCTTTAAAAAGAGATAACATAGTTGAAGGACTCAAGATGCGTCTTGAGGGAGTGGATGTAGGCGACGTTAAG